TCGCTATGAGTCGGTACCGACTCGATGACACCTAACAACAACAACAAATAGAACCACATGGCTGAACAATAAAATCATTAAAAAGTGTCCATTGAGCAATGGCTCCCATCCCTCCCTGGTCACATGCTCTCCTAACTACTCCCTTCCTGCACAGCTAAATATAATATCAATTGCTCATTCATATGCAAGTTCACAGCGAAGCTGAAGGAAATGAAAATAAGTCCATGAGAGCCAAAATATGACCTTGAACATATCCCATGTGAATTTAGAGATCATCTGAAGAACAGATTTGATGCATTAGACACTAAAGACCGAAGACCAGAAGACCTGAGGGATGACATCACGAACATCTTACAGAAAGAAAGCAAAAGGTCATTAAGAAGATTGAAAAGAAGGAAAAGATCAAAATGGATGTCAGAACAGACTCTGAAACTTGCTCTTCTGCATAGATATGTTAAGGAAATGGGAGAAATGGGGGTATATAAGAACTGAATAGATTTTTTCAAAGGGAAGCTTGAGAACAGAAAGCCAAATATTGAAATAAAATGTGCAAAGATCTGAAGCTAGAAAACCAAACGGAAACACACTCATCATTTCTCAAGCTGAGAGAACTAAAGAAAAAGTTCAAGACTCGACTTATAACATTGAAGAATTCCATGGGCAAAATAGTGAAAGATGCAGAAGCACACACACACAAAAAGAGATGGAAGGATTATACACAGTCACTGTACCAAAGAGAAATAGTTGATATTCAACCATTTCAAGAGGTAGTATCTGAACGAGACTCAATGAAATAGTCCAAGGTTCACTGACGGCATTAGCAAAGAACAAGACTCCAGGAATGGATGGAATCCAACTCTTTCAACAAAATGATGCAGCACTGAAGACACTCATTCATGTGTGCCAAGAAATTTGGAAGACAGCTACCTGGCCAACTGATTAGAAGAGAATCATATTTGTGCCTATTCCAAAGAGAGGTGACCCAATGGAATGTGGAAATCATCAGACAGTATCATTAATATCACGTGCAAGTAAATTTTGGTTAAATAGAATTTAAAAGATACTGCAAATAATTATATAACATTGACAAGGAACTGCCAGAGGTTCATATTTCATTCAGACAAGGACATGGAATGAGAAACATCATTGAAGACCTCAGGTGAATCTTCTTTAAAAGTAGAAAATACGAGAAAAGTGTTTATCTGTGTTTTACTGACTATTCAAAGGTTTTTGACTGTGTGGCTCGTGACATGCATTGTAAAGAATGTATATTCCAGAACACTTAATTGAACTCATGAGGAACCTGTACACAGACCAAGAGGCAGTCATTCAAACAGATCAAGGGGACACTGAAAGGTTTAAAATCAGGGAAGGTGTGCACCAGAGTTGCATTCTTTCACCATACTTATTTGATCTGTGCACTGAGTAAATAAATAATCTGAGAAGATGGATTATATGAAGAAGAACATGGCATCAGGTTTGTAGGAAGACTAATGTACAACCAGTGCTATGCAGATGATACAACTTTGCTTACTGAAAACGAAGAGGACTTAAAATACTTCCTGTTGAAGATCAAAGACCACAGCCTTTGGTAAGGGTTGCACCTCAATGTAAAGAAAACAAAAATCCTCACCACTGGAGCAATAAGAAACATCATGATAAATCGAGAAAAGATTGAAATTATCAAAGACTTCATTGTGCTTGGATCCACTATCAGCATCATGGGAGCAGCCATCAAGAAATCAAAGGCAAATCTGCTGCACAAGATCTCTTTAAAATGTTCAAGAGCAAAGGAACTGGTTAGAGAACTAAGGTGTGACTGACCCAAGTCATGGTCTTTTCAATAACCTCATATGCATGTAAAAGTTAGACAGTGAAGAAAGAAGACTGTAGAAGAACTGATGCATTTGAGTTATGGAGTCGGAGGAGAATATTAAAGGTACCATACACTGCCAGAAGAACAAATCAGTGTTTGAAGAAGGACAGCCAGAATTCTCCTTAGAAGTCAGTGTGAAAAGATTTTGTCTCTCATACTTCAGTCATATTGTCAATAGGCTCAGGAGTAACAACAATTGTGAGAATGGCACAGAACTAGGCAATATTTTGTTCAGTTGTGCATAGGATCACTATGAGTCGGAACTGACTTGATGTTACCTAACAACAACAAGTTATCTCTTTTCCCCTTCTTACTCAAAATATAATATGCAGAGTTCTGTGCTGTGTATTTTTACCTTAATAGTATAGAAAACATCACTCAAACTCTTAAAAATCTCAATTCAACCATCAGCTAAATGGAAAAAGTAAAACAAGGTCCTCACTTTATAGGTTTGTGTTGTCCTGGTGTGGTGCTGTGGGTTAATATGCTGGACTGTAAAGACAGTTTGATCTACAAGATTGGTGGTTAGAGCCCACCAGCTATTCCTCAGAAACACTATACAGTCGGCTATGGGTCAGAACTGACTCAACAGCACTTAACAACAACAGCAAAGAACTATTTAAAGATTTTAAATGGTTGAAAAATCTAAAGGATAAGATGTTGTTGTTGTTGTTGTTAAGTGCCGTCGAGTCGGTTCCGACCCATAGCGACCCTGTACAGGGTTTCCGAGAGTGTAAATCTTTACGGGAGTAGAAAGCCTCATCTTTCTCCCACGGAGTGGCTGGTAGTTTCGAACCGCTGACCTTAAGGTTCGCAGCCCGATTCGTAACCACTACACTACCAGAAGCCTCAAAACCTTCATGGAAAGCTGGAATGAAAAGATAATAGAATTTTTCCACAAACCTTTTGAAGCCCCTTCATCTATTGTGGTAAGTGAAAATTACCCAGAACTCAGATTTCATTGTCCATCAAGCTAATTGGTTTGTATGTTATTTCCGACTGCTTTTGTACACAACAGATTTGAGTACAGGTTGCTCTTGACTTATCCCACAGTCGTGACTGTCATACCAAACTGCAGTTACGACTGTCTGCAAGATATTTTTGTTGTTATCAGTAACATGTTTGACATACAATGTTAAAACAAATTTGTACATTTTTATGTAATGTTTCCAACCTCAAAAGACAATTGAAAATTGGATTTATAAAGACACTGATAATAAAAGGCAAAAATAATGAAAACTAAAAACTAAAAAAATAAAATAAAATAGATATGTTATTTGACTTAAGTCAGAACCCTGTCGCAAGTCAGGGACTTACCTCTAGTAGTAACAGAGGCATATGACACACAGATCTGAAAGTCTATGTGGCTCTCTCCCAGTCAGTTTGCCAGATCCATCAAATCCAATGCTGTTTCTCTACTTCCCTTGCAGAGATGGCAGGCTCCAAGTGAGGACCCAGACAGCATCAGGAGGGGAAAGGGCGTGGACTGTGCTGCCCTCACCTGCATGGTCCAGCTGGCTCAGATACTGGTTGGAGGTAGTCTGGGCTTTCTGGTCAACACTGCTGGAAGTGTTGTCGTTGTGGTGATCACAGCCTCTGCGGTGGCACTGATCGGCTGTTGCTTTGTGGCTCTCTTTGTGAGATACGTGGATTGAGTCAATAAAGAGACATTGACCTTAACCTCAGACGCAGTGAAACATATTGTCAATAAGGAAAATGCATTGATGTGCCTCACTTCTAATCTCTGTACAATGATCTTATCGTTTAGGCATCCTTTGTCTTACACCAGAGTGGGCAAGGCCTCTATCATTGGTGTGTGTGTTTGGTACCATCTACCTACACACACTCTTCTCATGTCATTTTAGTGCAGGGGAGGCATGGTTTGTTCTCCACAGGACATGTCAGACCTGAGAGATAGGCTAATGTATTTATATGCTTAGATTTCTTCTATGACGTGCTTTAAAAAAAAAACAAACCTAAGATCCAAATATCGTCTGTGACCCATAGTCTCCGTTTTGTTGTTAAATGCCATTGAATTGACTCATAACAACCCTGTACAGGGTTTCTGAGGAGCAGCTGGTGAGTTTGAACTGACAACCTTGTGGTTTGCAGGCCAGTGCTTATCCTACAATGCCACAGCAAGAATCCATATTTGCCATAAAATTGACAAGTCTTTCAAATATTCTGTTTGATGATCTCCCCACCAAGGCTGCTGGAACATCTTCTCATGCCGGGGAATGTATTACCTTAAAATAAGTCATTTCATTGGCCCACTGTGGAAACCATTTTCTCTAGCCTGTGGAGTCATTTTTTAAAGCTAGTCTTCCCATTTCTCCTACAATCATCTCCTTTCTAAGCTAAACAGTTTTTGTCTAGCTCTATCCCTTCAACTGCTTCTCATGTGCTCAGGATTTCAACAGCCTCAAAAGAGCTTGGCTTAAAGACAGAGAGATTGTGAACTCTAGAGCCAGGCCGGTTCTAAGTCTGGACTTTGTCTGTTTCCAGCAAACAACATAAGCCCTCAAGTCTCACTTGCTCATCTGTACAGCTGAAATAATAATTCCCATCTCAGAGAGTTGTAGCGATTAGTAGTAGATGGTACCATCTGAGCACTTATCACTGTTCTTTAAAAAAAAAAAAAAAAATGTGTTTCACTGGCTTACACAGCAGTTTAAGTTCTCATTCAGTAATTTCAATGCATTTTTTCAATGACATTGGCTACATTTTTCACAATCCACAAACATTCTCAAACTTTCCACTCTGTCGATTCTGTTGTCCCTCGTCTAGTGTAATTTACATTCTTATCATTGTTTTAAAGTTATTGTTCACTGTTTGGTCTCATATAGATGATTTTTTTCTTAAAGAATGGTACTCATGGGTAATATTCTTTTTTTGTGTGAGCCAATCCATTATTTATCTACAAAGTGACCTCAGAGGCTAGTTTTGCTTCAAGGTTTACAGAGATATCTGAGGGCAATAGTTTGGGGAAGTCCTCCAATCTCAACCAGTACAGTACATCTGGTTTTTCTGTTGTGTTTAGGAATTTAAGATTCTGTTCCATACTTTTCTTCCATTCAAGGCCCCTCTATTATGACCCTGATCAGAAGAGTCAGTAGTGGGAGCTTTCTGGTCTCAGACTGGAAAAGGCTCTGTTCTGTGTAGATTATGAATCTACTAGTTTGTACTTTGTGAGTCTTCGGTTTCCTTCTACTGCTTACTACTATTCCAGATGTTTTATTTGACAGTGGGTAGTGTTACAGATCTCCATTTGTGGATGAGGAAAAGAAGGTTGAAAGGGGCTACATTATTCATCTGAAGGTAGGCAGAACTGGATTTTGAATGGTTCCCTGGATGGACAGCCCTTGATTTGGTGGTTGGCACTTGGTCCATGCTTGATAAACAATGTCACTGTTGTTTAAGGCTCATCATCTTGTGTCCTCATCCTGATCTGCTCCAGTCCTTAAAGATTTGCCTGCACTGTTTAGAATGTGGTCTGACTAGTGTCAGTATCCCCACAGGGCTTTTTACCTATCAACACATTTCTATGGCTCTTGCCTCGGCTTCTGAGGCTGGCAGTGTAATCATCGTCTTAGGGGAATTTCTATCTTACTGAATCTTTTGGTGGTGGAAGGGAATCTGGAAGAAAAAAAAATGAGCTGCCTTTGAGAACAGAGGTACTTGGGGTTTTGGATGTTGGTCTTGTGCCCAGTAGAAAGGATGACCAGCCTTTGAAGTATCAGTTCATTGGGATAGGGGTCCTGAGAAGAGGAAGGGTGCTCTGGTTCTTGGGAAGGTTCTGAGTCCCCTTTCATAAGACTCTGGGTGGATAAGGGGGACGTGCCTACCCCTAACACTTACAGAGTCTAAGGTAAGTGTGGAATCCTGGTGTGGTGCTGTAGTATAAACACTGGACTGCTAACCACATGGTCAGCAGTTCAAACCCACCAGCCACTCCTCAGAAACCCTATACGGAACCCATCCAATGGCACTGACCCCATACAAAAACAAGAGTAAAACTAGAGATCCATGGTCTACATCCCATCCCCTAATCCGTTCATTGTTGGACCTCTCTGCGCTCTGTGCAGTACTATGCAAATCCTTGTGTGCAGTTTGGTGTGAGTAACGACAAAGTATAACCATAACTTACCAGCCCCACTTCCCCCTTCACCATACCTGCAAATAGCCACCTTCAGCCCGTCCTGAGATCTGGGTGCATGGACTCACTGGCACTTCCTGCCTTTGTGAGGACAGACTTGGGAAAGGACTCACTCAGGGCTATTTGGATGGAAAATTTTGTAGTCTCAGGTCAACAACAAGGTGGAAGGGTGGGACACAGACTCCAAATGACTCTGCGAATTGCTTGCCATGTGGGAGGGTTGCCGCTGGAGGGGGAAGAGCATAGGGGTCTTGACTGTGACAGTCCCAAAGTCTACCAGCCTAAAAGCACAACCAGAGAGTGAATCTGTTGTCTTCTGCGATGCAGTTTCCTCTCCTTCTAATTTCTCTGATGATCTCAGAAGGAAGCTGGTTCCCAGTTCTCACGTACACTGTCTTTCTCCTGCCCCCGTGTGGGTTCCCAGGTCAGTGCTACAATTCTCCTTTTTGTTCAGTGAGCCTGCTTTCTGCTGCTATCTGGTTTTCACACCTGTAACTAGTGCAGTACTAGGGGTGTAGGTAGGGCATCCAGAGTACCTCTGTGAATCTGGCTCCTTCAGGTTTCTGTGTGTGGGAAGGGGTGAGGGAAGGCCAGGGGCTCACATTGAAGTGGTCACTCTTTCCTGCTCACTCTCGCCACCTGCTGGGTACACAGCTTTCTTACAGGGTACCCGTCACTCCAAGCTCTTGCCTGTTTTCCCACTCTGGTGCTTTCCCGACCAAGCTTGACTTTCTTTGTTATCATTTCACTTCTCAACCTCTGAGCTTCACTCACCTCTTTTAATTTCCTGATCTCCTTTAGGTCCCCTTATGCTCCTGGTGTGGTGCTGTAGGATCAGTACTGAACTGTGAACCACAGGTCGTCAGTTCTAACCCACCAGCTGCTCCTCAGAAACCCTATACAAGTCACTGTGAGTCAGAACTGACTGAACAGCACTTAACAACAACATGCTCATTCATATTTTCACCTCCAAATGAAATCATCTCACTCTTTTTGAATGACATACTCTCTCTCCTCCAGTCTTCTGTCCTCCCTCTCCCCTACCAAGTTCTGTGGAAACCTTACACAGAGTCACTAGGAGTCAGAACTGACTTGATGGCACTTAACAGCAACAACAACATCACAATAGAAGTGTGCCTTTCAAGATACTTTCCTAAGAACTTTGAGCTGACCACACATCATCTCATAGTCAAAATTCAAACAGTAAGTTGTTTTAACAAAGAGTTAAAGAAACTCAGTAAGGTTATAAATTAATACTGGCATTTTCTTTCTTAGTATTTCCTTTGTTAGCTACATTGCATTTGGAGGATGTGGTAGTTCACATTTCAGTCTCTGTTGGCCTGCTTACTGTTTAATATCAAAATATTTGCTAACCAAAGGTTGTTGGTATTACGTGTTGTCGAGTTGGTTCCGATGCATAGCATCCTGCACAGGGTTTCTGAGGAGCAGCTGGTGAGTTTGAACCATGGACCTTGCAGTTCAAACCGACTTTGCAGTCCAGCATATTAACCCACAGCACCACACCAGGACTCCTATCCAAAGGTTAAGAAAGAACAATTCAACTACTAAACAAAAATGCTATTCTGTTTTCTAAAACAGACCACTCAGGATTAATGAGGCCAGGCAGCCTTTGTTTTTGTGTCAAAGTATGATTATTCATTAATTACTAAGCATTTGCACTGTGTCGTGTTACAGAAAGTCAAACAAAGAATGCTGCAGGGACATGCAGAGCCTACATTGGGGTCTTAAATTTCCGTTCCATACACTATAGGAAATATCCAACAAATTACTCAACAGTTTGACAGTTCAAAGAGTCTGTTTCAGCAGACATGGATTTATAACAATTATTTATTGTACTGAAAGAATCATCCCAGTAGGTATATCTGCCTAGCTGGTTTCTTTACCACCGAACAATGTTGCCATTGTTTGAAAGCTGACATGGTAATGGATATTTAATGTTTGACCCCAGTTTCCTGAGCAGCCTCAAGAAAAGGTCTTGTGATGATCTTGAAGCCTTAAATTGCAGCAATCAGGTCTGAGAACTGGGAGACAATTTTCAGAGGCATCCCATAGACTAGGGATTAGGAAAGAATTTACTATGCATGCTCAACCTGGAAAGCATTCTTTAGAATAAATGGAATTTGACTAAAGTAAGTGTCCGGTGGGCTTTCTCACCCACAGCCTTCTCTTGTCAGCAACATGAGCAACTAAGAACCCAACTGCAGGAATTGCTGGTAATTCTTCACAACAGGCTCTAAGAGATGCTTTTCTCTTTAGGAAAATGCGATGTGCGCTAAAAATAAATTTGTTCAAGGTCTTGTGTCTCCTTTCCCGTCCTACACTTATTCTTGGAAGTTCAGACTCTGGCTTCTAGATAATGGGTTTTCAGGAACTCTGCACATTTTTACAGTATCTGGCTTTTCTACATAAGTCTCCAAATGAAGTCACCTAGCCACCCCTCTCGATTAACTTTATTTGTCGGCTTATGCAGAAAAGCAAGTGATGCCAGGAATCTTGGTAGTACAATGTGTACAATGCTAACCGTAACATCAGCAGTTCAAACCCGGGAAGTTGAAGATGAGGATTTCTGCCCCTGTAGGATTTACAGCCTTTAAAACCTCTTACAGGGTCGCTATGAGTTGGAACTAACTTGACAGTATACAGCAGCAGTGCTTTTCTATGCGATGGTCCAGGGCATCAGTCAAACTCTGTCAAAGGAGCTTCCTGATTCCTAAAGAATGAAATGGGAGAGGCTGCGGAGGCTCACGGGATCCCAGAAACCATCTGTTCTGAGTTTTTCACGTTGCTTAGGTGCCCAGCTCACCTGCAGCTCATGGAACAAAAGTACACAGTTTCTTCAGGAATGTAACTAGCCCTCACAGGAAACAGGGCCCCAAGCTCCCAACGGATGGGACTATCTGCTTCCTACTCGTTTACCAACGCGAGCCCCCTTTTCCTCCAGAAGCAGCAACCTGAAGAGGTCTGTCTACTGAGCCTCAGTAATCACACAGCGTTCGTTCCCCCCTGCAGCGATGCCACCTCCCAACAAGTCGCTGTCCCACACAACGGAGGTTTTGCCTCCAGCGATATCTGATCGCAGGGACAGTGAAAAGAGTCTCGACCTGCCAGTGCAGGCTGATACGGGATTCATGGTCACGTAGGAAGTGCTTCTGCATCGCCATTTTCCCTTGGGCAGACGAAGAATGTCATCTTTCTCTCAACTCCGAAAATGTTTCTTGCCTCCGAATTCTAGGTTCCAGGGGCACCCGCACGGCAAGTCTTTGAGCAAAAGTCAGGCTCGAAAGCCAAGGCGCAAAGGAGAGGTTTGTTGGGCGGGTGGCGCCCGGGCTGGATGCACCCTGAGACCCTAACCCAGGGCTAGGTAAAATCGCTGCAATAAATGCACTCAATCGTCCGCGCATGCCACCTGACTGAGTCCCCCCTCACGCCCCACTTCTCACCTTTCCTGATGCTCATCTCCTCTTTGGCGCGTCCCCACACTTAAACGTGAATAGCTTAAGGAAAGGATGATGTGGAGTGTGGAGGGGCCCCGCCGAAAACTGGTGGTCAGGCGCTCTAGGGCAGATCTTGTCCTCTTTGTTCTCTCCACCTGGTCTCACATCTCTCCCCACCAAACAAGGGACTGTCTCACTGTTTTTCCCTCCATCCTTGGCTTCACGAAGGGGCCTCGTCAGCCTCCCCTTACCCGCCCTTTCCTTTCCTTTCTGGTGAAGCCACCGCGCGCCCTCAACCTCCACAGCGTTAGTAGGTGGAGCTGCTGGGCAGCAGGTCGCAGCGTCCCCCACTGTAGACCACAACGCCCGGCGGGTAATAGAGTAGGTCGGGCTCCGTGGCCGCGTGGATCGGTGCCAGAGCTTGCAGCCCCTGTTCCTCGGGCTCGGGCTTGGTGGTGGCTGTGAAGGGGCGCATGCTGGTGAGCGAGGGCGACGCGATGCGCCACAGCAGACTCTTGAGCGCTTTACGGAACTCTCGGCGCACCAGGCAGTAGAGGACCGGGTTGAGGCAGCTGTTGCAGTGAGCCAAGCACACGCTCAGAGGGTGGGCGTACTGGTGGAAGAGGAAGTATTCGTTGGTGAAGGGCACGGCGTCGAACTTGATAAGGATGCCCCAGGCGGTGACCATCTGGTTGGGCAGCCAACACAGAAAGAAGGACAAGACCACAATGGTCACTGACTTGGTGACCTTGGACCGTCTCCGGGCGCTGGCTTCAGCCAGGCCTCTGCCCGGCGCCACGACCCCTTCCTGGGCCGCCTCCACGCGGCGATCGGAGATGAAGCGCACCAGCAGCAAGTAACACAGGCTGATGATGCCCAATGGCAGCACGAACCCCAGCAGCACCTTCTGCGTGTGGTAGAGGCCCAGCCAGAACTGCCCGTCTCCGGGCCGCCGCTGGTCCGGGAAGCGCACCAGGCACAACTCTTCGCCTAGCACCTTGGTCGTGGAGGCGAAGATGGCATTGGGCAATGAGGCCAGCGTGGCCGAGGCCCAGATCAAAACGCACAGCGCCTTGGTGGAGAAGCAACAGCTGCTTTCCAATCTCCGGCCGCAGCAGGAGTCCCGGCGGTGCCCTCGGGTCCGGTGGCTCTTGAGAGCTGAAGCCACAGAGTAGTAGCGCGCCACGCTCATGGAGGTAAGGAAGAAGACGCTGGCATACATGTTTAAGGACGACATGATGGACACAATCTTACACATGGCCTTGCCAAAGGGCCATTTGAAGTCAAGCGCGCTCTCCACCGCCCAGATTGGCAAGGTAAGCACGAACAGGAAATCAGTCAGTGCCAGGTTGGTGACAAAGAAGTTGATGGAAGACTTGCGCCAGCCCTGCTTGCTCTTCATTAGGTAGAGCACCAACAGGTTGCCGGCCAACCCCACCGCGCAAACCACTGAGTAGACCACAATGATGAAGACCCGCAGCCCCTCCCCGCTGCCCGCGCGGTCCGGCAATTCTAGCCCCAAATCCCACCACAAATTCTTGAACTGCAGCGACCCGTTGCCACTCACATTGCCCGCCTCTAGAAGGACGGGGAACAGAGTAAGGAAATCTGGGAGCTCACCACCGCCAGTCGTTTCATTCACGGTGGCTACCATGGCTGGTGCGCAGTGGCCTCTAGGTCATGTTCGGGGTGTACAAGATACAAGGAAGTCCCGCTTGTCCCAGATGTTGCTTCAGGGGCGGAGGCGCAGGGTGGGGGTACGTTGAAAGCAGCCGCTGAAGATAACGTCCAGAACCGAAGCCCCGCACGTCCTGGCTGCCCGCGCTCAGAGCGCCGCGTTGCGTGCTGAAGTAGCGCTCAGGATCTACCGGAGAAAGGAGTGCAGCTTGTAAGGCGGTTTGTCTGCCAGCTCAGGAACTCTCAGGCCGGTCCCTTTTGTACCATTCAGACTCAGAACCCCCTCCGATTCCTGCCGTCACCAGGGCTATAGTGCGCAACCCACCCAGCTACTCTAGAGCTCGATTCCAGCTTCTCTTTTCATCTGCCTTTGTCGGCCTCCTCTGCTACTGCTTGTGCGAGGTTTCTGTCCTTTGAGAGAAAAAGAGAGGTCGGTGCGTTCCGTCTACCTTGCTTGACTGGCTGGAGGTCTGTCCCACGCATCTGTCTCTCCTTTGTAGTCAACTCTTGGTGAGTTGCGAGCGCCACTCCAGGAGTTATAGTTTCGGCGGACGCCCAAGGAGCATGCGTGCCTGCAGGAGTGCTGGGAGGGAAAGAGCGGACGCTTTCCGAGGTGCTGAACCCCTCCGCGCCAGCTGCCGATGAGAGTAAGGCAGCAGCAGAGCCCACCAGACAATTTTCCTATTTTGCAGGAGAAAGTCTGCTTTGATTTCCGTCTCCTCTTCCTTTCTTATTCCTAAAACTGCAATTAGGAATCTTTTTTCTTTCTTCCTCACTCCCAATTTTTCTTTAAAATTAGGTCCATTTGATAAAAGATAGTCTGAAAATATGTGATCCCCTCTTTATTTTTTTTTTTAAACTATTGTGGCCCAGATCCTAAATCAGATGATAGACTTTTATTGAGTGTACAAACGTAACCACTCCCTCTTGGTTAACTAGCTAAGCGTTTTATCTGGTGTCTGTCAGGTTTCTACTTAACAGAATTCTGCCTTGAATTGTTGCCCTCTGCTTTGGTGTTTGTTGTTGTTGTTATGTGCCATGGAGTCAGTTCAGACTCATAGCGACCCTGCACAGGGTTTCCGAGGCTGTAAATCTTTACGGGAACAGAACGCCTCATCTTTCTCCCGCGGAGCAGCTGGTAGTTTTGAACTGCGGATCTTGCGGTTCGTAACCCGATTCGTAACCACTACGCTACCAGAGCTCCCTCCAGCTAAACAGGGCATACCACTGGTAAGCTGACGTCACACACATTAATACCACTTGTATAGTCCAGGTAGCCCAAGCTTA